AAATTTCTCTGCCCTGGATGAGAGAGAAAAAAGTATCTCGTGTCTAAAGTATCTGTGGTGCTTTATAAAAAACCTTCCACTAAAGATAACCTGGAGTTGGAGACAGGCATGGGAGAAAGACGGGCATAACATATGCATCCCACCATGCCCCACTCTTGCCTTCCTCCAGATATGACTAGAATTAAGCCTTAAGTCTCGGTGCTCATCAATCATGGTGTGAACTTACACTTCCAGAGTGCTTTGCATATCCCTTAGCTAAAGCCCTGTACTATGCTTGATCTCTTTCCCAAATGTGGTCTGTGGGTGTGAGAAGCATGGATACGTGATCTCTCTTAGAGCCAGAAACCTCCTCAGACACTTCAATCTTGATCTGACTGCTCGGGGTTACCAAGTCCTCTGAAACCTTTTAAAGCCACCATCCTTTTTCCTTCCCAGTTCAGCCTCTTCAGGTCACGGCTGACGCCTAGCATAATTAGTTTATTCAAGAGTACGGCCTCAGGCTGGTGAGCTGGCATGGTCGGTAAAGTGTGCTTACCTTGCCAACATTAAAACTTAAGTTCAACCCCCAGAAGCCATATTGAAAAAAATGACATATACCTGTAATCCCTGGGCTGGCGATGTTATTAGCCAGCTAGACAAATCAATATGCCAGCCAGCAAATGAATAAGTTTCAAGTTCAGTGAGAGATCCTGTCTCAAAGCAATAAAGATGGAAAAAGACTGAGAATCAATGCCTGGCATCAACCTCTGGCCTCACACATGCACCTACACACAATGGGACCAGTAAGTACGTATACCACACAGGCACAATGCACATCACAGACAAAAATCTAACGAGGTAGAAGTGGCACCTGGGAATCGCACTTGAGGCTGTTCTCTGGCCTCCACAAACAAGTGTGCTTATGAGTGCCCCCTCCCAACAAATAGTTTCTGACCTATACAACACGTGAGGTACAGTGTGTGTGGGGTGGGATTATGTTAGTGTTAAAAGAGGGAAGATCTGTAAGAGGGGCATCCAAGTGGAGAATGGACAAAGAAATCACATGCACATAGGCAAAATATAGTTTTTAAAATATTTTTTCCTTTTATTAAAAATAGATTCTTGTCAGGTGATAGTGGCACACATCTTTAGTTCCGGCACTCGGGAGGCAGAGGCAGGCAGAGGCAGAGGCAGAGGCAGGGGCAGAGGGAGGCAGAGGAAGGCAGAGGCGGGGAGAGGGAGGGCGAGGGGGGGGGAGGGGAGGGGGGGGCGGGGGGGGGGGGGAGAGAGGGGGAGGGGGGGGGGGGGGGCGGGGGGGGGGCGGGGGGGGGCGGGGGGAGGAGGGGAGAGGAGGGCAGAGGCGGGCAGAGGCAGGCAGAGGAAGGCAGAGGCAGAGGCAGAGGCAGGGGCAGAGGGAGGCAGAGGAAGGCAGAGGCGGGCAGAGGAAGGCAGAGGCGGGCAGAGGAAGGCAGATCTCTGTCAAGCCCAGCCTGATCTACAGAGAAGAGTTCCAGGACTTCCCGGGCTACACAGAGAAACCTTGCCTTGAAAAACCAAAATAAACAAATAAATGAAAGAAAATAGATTCTTTTCTCATACAATATATCCTGATTACAGTTTCCCCTCGCACTATTCCTTCCAGTCCCCCCCACACACCCCAAAATCTGGATCCATTCCCTTTAAATGTATTTTTTAAATCACTTGCCCATGTGTTAAAAGGGGAATGGGTCACAACTGCACGCTGCTGTGCAGACATATGTGTGACATGGGTGACCATGGGTTTATAGTGAGGGGGAGGGGTATCTAGGAACTGTCACTGTCTCAAATATTATCTCAGAAATTGCAGCATGACTGGATTTTGCCTGTAGAATGGGAGGGGGTGAATGTGGGAGTGGTGTGTTGTAAGCTGCACAGTAAGACACGTTTGTGAGGCGCAGGCAGAGGAGAAGGGGGCAGGCAGAGGAGTCTTGAGCTGAAAGTACCAAGAAATTCACAGAACAGAAAACAATTCCTCATGACAGGTTTAGAACATGGAATTAGGAAGCAGACCATCAGGGTCTGCTACTGCCGAAGTCCAGAGTGTGTCCACAAATGGAACTGCTGAAGTGGTAAGGGAGACACTGTCTGGAGGCCCCTCTCTCATTCTATGCTTGCTCGCTGACTCCTCCTCCAGCAGTGTCCTCCACCATAGACTTGGCCTTCTGTTATCCTACACAATGGCACTCTTCCAGCCTTTCCGATTCCTTGTCTATCTCTTCTGATCTAAAGCCTAGAGCTAGGAAGGACTCCGGCACAGGCCATTTGCCCCCATTCTTTTGCTTCTTCCCTGTGACCAGATCCCTTCCTGTGACCTTAAATGTCCTCTATGTACTTATACTCTCTAATGTTTCCTAGCAAACCCTCACTCTAGTTTGAGGATTACTGACCTCACCACGCTCACCAACACTTTACGGATGGCATTTGCCTAACAGCTCTTGAGGACTTCTTTATTATCTGTTGTTTCCACAGTAGCCACGATGATAAGTTCCAAGCATAAATCAGATCTTAAACCTGTAGACTAAAACCCTAAACAGGCTTCCGTTTCCTGTGGCTGCTGTAACAAATTACCACAAACTTAAAACAACACAAGTTTATCCTTCACAGTTCTGGAGGCCAGGGGTCAAGGTGTTGACAGAAAAATAGTCCCTCCAAAGGCCCTGGAGAGTCCCATTCCCTCTCCAGAGCTCCGTGCTTCCTCAGATGTGACTGCCTCAATGTGGTCTGCCTCTGGCCCCTGACTTCCTATGGCCTCCCCTTATCTGTTTTTCCCTTGTTTGTTTGGTTTGGGGGTTTGGGTCTCTCTATGTAGCCCAGGCTAATCTAAACTTTGAATAATCCTGCCTTGGCTCACCTAATGCTAGGGATTACAGGCGTGTGCCACCAAGCCTGGCTGGCTACTCTGGGCTTTTCATTTGAGCCTGCCTTTCCCCTCCGAATGCCAGGCGGGCCTCACTGTCACAGCAGGCCTTACTCCACCTTGCCAGTACTGAATGACAAGCATGAGCTACTATGCATTTTTCGTTTAAGGGTATTTGTCACAGAATTTACCACTCACATGATCTCACCTCAAGGTCATAAATTATGATTATAAAAATCGTTTTGCCCATATAAAGAAAGACACATTGTAGGTCCCAGGGACTAAAACTTAGGCAAACCTTCTGTATGCTCACCAGCCACCATTCCCCTGGCTCTGCTCCAAGTCCTACCTAAACTCATCTCTCCCCATCTTCCTGAGCAGCAGGCTCTTCTTCCTTTACTCCCATTTCCTACTTCTCTAAGACCACCTTTGGCCTTTTGTGCACTGCTCCTTTCCTGCTGTCCACCTAGCTGACTCTTTAGGGCTTCAGTTAAATATTACTTCTGGGGACAATTGTACCTTTACCTCTTGCTCCATTGTCACCCCCAAACATGTTGTTGCTTTTCCTCAGCACTGACTGTTCCTTTGTTCATCAAGGCAGAGTTAGTTACACCAGGACTTGTGGGTTTCCTTGCGCATATTTGCCTTTCCCACTGGACTATCAACTCTATACCATTTTAGGAAACGCATCTGTTTTGTTCTCTTGTGCATACATATTTAGAGCACAAGATAGCATGAATGAATGGAGTATAATGTCAACAGCCCCACCCTCCCCCCTTTCAAGAGGGTTCAAGAACAGCAAATAAAGGGCTCAGGATACTCAGGATACACCTCTTACTGTGCCCCGCCAAGCCTGGGCAAGCCATAAAACTGAGCAAATGGAAAAAGCATATCTGATTATTATTAGCAAATTCTAAGGATTTTCCTGGCCACCTATTCAGCTTGGATGAGTAAGGTATTCATTCTGTATTTTGTACTCCCCATCTCCTGACCAGAGGGATGGACTGTAGTTTCTCAGAGTTGTTAGTAGAAACTGATAAAGACTGACTTTCACCTTTGACCTAACACTAAGCTGGAGAATTAACATATGTATTACAAAAAAAAAAAAAAAAAAAAAAAAAAAAACCTCTTCCTTGGGATGCCTGGAATTCCCCAGCCTCTCTTCTTCTCTACAAGTCACTTTTAAGTTGAAATATGATTCACATATCATAACCCTTTGCTACACGATTCAGTATTTTGCACCAAGTGGAATCACCTGTTACTCATTCCAGACTATTCTCAACACATTCTACGCTTCCCTCCAACCAAGAAAAGAAAGAGCCTCCCTGAGCAAACACAGCCTACCCCTCCCTCTCAAGAGCCCGGGTAACCACGGACATACTGCATACAATCTGTCCAGTTAAACACCGAAACACGTCATGATTTACAAAGAGTTGCTTAGAGAACGAGCACCTGCATTTACCGAAACCTTTTGTATGTAAAAGCAAAAAATGCTTACTGTATCTAGTACATGCCCTTAAATGTAGCCCCAATACATCTGATAAGGGGAGGGTATATAAACACTTTCAGGACAACACAGCTCACTGGGAAGGATATTGGGTATTCACTAGTAATCTCTTTTAAGAGGTAGATCAGGAGAACTAGAAGTTTAAGGCTATCCTTGGCTACACAGCAAGTCTGAGGACAGTTGAGGATTCATGCGACCCTGTCTCAAAAGAAAAAAATCACTCATGCTACTGGCGGAAAGGAACTTCACTTATGGACAGGGAAAAGTGTGAGATTGCGGTACAGGAGACAAGTGTTTTCTTTTCAGCCCAATATTTTGAAAGGAAGGGTGTTCCATGTGGCCAGGGAACCACTTGCTTCCTGTACAGTGGACAGGATGGGTCCAGAGATACTCATCATTTGAGTTGGCTCATATGTAACTAATGCATAATAGTGCTGACACCACTTCTACATCCTAACTGGTTAATGGCATCTAACCTGACTTTCTAGATACCCTAGTGAACTTTCTAGTAAGGAAAATAGTCACATGCTCATGTAACTATCACAACATCATCATAAATGTGTACACAGGAACATTAATTCTATAGGCTAAGATCAGCAGAATCAGTTTGAAAAAAAACAATTAGGCATACATTTTATTGCATGTCTTAATCAACATTACAAATACCACTAACAAAAAGAAAGTGTCACTGCTCAAAATACAGAAAATTGAACCTCAGTTTTGTGCTCATTCAAAAATATTAAAATAGCAATTCAGAAAGCCAAGTCAAATCTAAATTTTACTCGTTAAAACCGAGACACTAAATGCCTGGAATATTTTAATCTGCTAACATCAACACACATACAAGAGCCTACTGTTGGCTGAGTAAACACAATTTCCCTTACAAACAGGGTATTTAAAGTTAGAAAGTCTGATGACTATATCATCATTTTTTAACAAAAACTACTGCTAAGCTGCTTATGTAGATAATCTATTAGCAGGACTGGTCAGTAAACGACAAAATGGAAACTCCTTGCTTATCAAATACTTCCATAACTTTTAATTTAAGCATGAAGATTTGCTTGAAAGATCAACTCCCAAGTGTCCACGGCAAATAGAGAGAACTTGAGTAACAATAAATTGGAAATAAGAAGTGAAAGAATATTTTGCATATTTCATTATGGTGTACCTTTGGAATGAAATTAGAATATACCTACATATAAAAACACAACTCCAGTTTCCTTTGTTATAAATTATGGATATAAATAAACCACCAGGCTAAAGAGTCATAGCCACCAATACAGAGAAAAAGGCAAACACAGAATTAAATAGTTTTAAAAGCCTTTTCTCTGTTTCTACAGGGGCATCAAGCTACTAAATAAAAGTCATTTCAATAGTCACTTTCAGATTGCATCCATTTTCATTCTGTCACATGATAGGGGACTAACAAGAACAAAAAGGCAAAAAGAAAAAAACTTGGAAAAAAATGTTTTCAAGAGGACATGGGCAAGGCAAGAGTGCATTCAGGGGAATTTCCTTTTTAATGAGTATTTTTATATATTTTCCTTGAATAAAATCAGGGTCAAGCACTGTCCACAGAATTTAGACAAATCTTGGATAAATTTTAAGGTTGCTGAATAACTTACAGAAAAGTGGCAACAGATTTTTATTCTAAGAGTCAATGAGAACAAAGCAGTCACAAGTACACACAAGCTTTAATGTTTTGAAATGGTCACCCTAAACAATTCACTTAAATTCCGGGCTTACAAAGTTCCCTCTCTCTATGCAAGCTGTCAAGTGAACACTGAAAACAATTTCCTTATGAATCCCGAGGACTAGTTTCTTTATGGAATATGCGTTTTTCATATCACAGTCAAGAAGCTTCAACTCACTCCCAAATTTAGCTTATGATTTCTGAATAAAATGTTAGTAGGAAACCAGTAGAAATGTCTTAAAACATATTTAGTTCTGAAATAACTTAGTTTGGGAAATATTTATATACCTAGTCAGAGAATTCCTTTGAAAGCTTAAAACTTTTTTAAAAAATAATCTATTTAACTTTATTTTATGTGCATGAAGGTATCAGATTCCCTGGACCTCGGAGTTACAAACAGCTGTGAGCTGCCATATGGGTGCTGGGAAGAAGAACCAGTGCACTTAACCCCTGAGCCATCTCTCCAGCCCGAAAGCTTAAAACTTAAAAAAAACAACAAAAAAAAACACAATCAGTTCAACAATCATTAAATAAAATGACTATAAAAGTAACTATAATAACATCCATTGAGAACCACACCACTTCAGGTGAGCTTGGCTCATGGGAAGTTAAAAGCCGCTTTTCCATCTTCGAAACTGAACATGGCTCAGTGGTTCAGTACTCCCTACGTTAAAAGTAAAGACACAAAAGTGTTCCTAAAAATCACCATGGGTGAGGATCGGTCAGGATGATGTATCATTGAACTTTCAGATTGAAAGGGACCCTCCTCAAGAGCCAATCCAGCTATTCAGATAAAGAAACTGAGGCCCAAGCAAGATAAATGACTCAGCCCAGGTCATCCGACCACCAAGCCATTTGTTCACCCACTGTGAGAGTTGCCAGGCTGCCAGGTGCTGGCAATGAGCTTGAAGGCAGCAATCAACAAATACCAAGACAGTCTTTTTTTCCCTTGCAATCTTAAGCTAAACCCTCCAAATTTCCAGGTAAGCAAGAACTCATGGGGGAGTTAAACACTCTCTACAGAACTGGGTCCACTTTCAGTTTCCCACATTACGGTAAACACATTTGGGGTTAGCTTCAGAGAGGCCTCAATTGTGTTTACTTGAAGTGATTAAGCATTAACAAAGGGAGGCACGGAATTCTGAATGAGTGCCATTCTAGTACATTCACATAAGGAAGTGCGATCAGAAAATGCCCTATAATCACAAGTTCACAGAGTGGACAGCTTGCAGAGTGCTGTGAGGTATGGATACAGGTCAGTCAGTCCAATAAACGGGAATGTCTCACCATTTCGTTTTGGCACGAGTCTAGGTTTCTGAGATATTCTGTCCAAAAAGGACCTCCAAACTTGCATTCAGACCAATACCCTCTTCCAATGAAATAGAAATATCCACACCAGGCCTTTTACTCAAGGTCAAATTTCCTCAACTTCTATTTGATCAAAGACAAATTAGTTTTTAAAAACCACAAATTTAATGGGCTGCTTAAAAGAAATTCAAATCCCACATGATCAAAATAGTAACAGCTCTAATTACGCATTCACAAGTTTTGATAAAAAAATTAAAGGACATGCAATGAATTAACCCATTAGCATGAATCATATCCCATTTTGCCTGAACTTTTACATTCCTTAATACTAAGTCTTGCCCTTGAGTGTGTGTCTCGTGGTGCTGTGGATCAGACACAGAGTCTTCTTGCTCACTCAGCTGAGCTATACACACAGCCCCCCCCCCCTTCACAGTTAAGTGTTGTGTGCATCTCAATTCACAGCAGCTTCCTTAAAGAGAAGTAGGGGTGCCCACATCAACAAAGCTTTTAAATAAAGCAACCCACGAGGAAAGAAGGAAGGCACTTTGAAATCCCGAGCAACAGTGCTCCGTGCTCCCAGTTTCAGATCGATATCCCCAAATGAACCATGGCTCTCCAGTGTCCTCACAGCCAGCCACTGGGTGACTTCTGGGAAAAATACAATCATCACCGGGCACTTGGAATTTCCAGAAGGTACTGTCCACTCCCCAAAAGAAAATGCTCTTCTGCTCATCTATTTCTCAAATCTCCAGATCTGATTTTTATCATGGGCATCACATGTTTTCATCTGTACACTGGGTCGGCCTTCAGATGTCCGAAAAGCACTAAGACACAGTCCAGTGTGAGGGTGGAAAATTGTTCCATCTTCTTTAAACAGCCAAATGATGTTTACTGGAGCAGGGAGACCATCTTTGGGACAGTTTTGCATCCCTACGTGATGTTTTTGTTCAGGAACCTCTGCACATAATTCAGTCACAGAATTAAATCTGATTTCTTTGTTTGAAGTATATTCAAAGAATTGGTTGCCTCCTTGACCGTGACATCCAAACAAGGAAAGGTTGGCACCTGTGGGGTTGTTATCAGGGGCATTATAGTCTAAGCACTCGGAAGAGATGCCCATGCTTCGAATAGCACCATGCCAGCCAGGTCTATCCTCAGGGACATGTAAGTTGGAAAACACGTTTTCCAAATACCAGTGGAAGCTCTTGCATTTCAGCCGTTCCCTCAGTAACTTTCTTTCAGAAATATCACCATAAACCTCTTTCCGAGCTGGAGGGTTTCGGTTGTAGAAATGGTCTTTGTATTCATCCATCCATACTTCAGCAGCCCTGGCAGTATTCTGCAGGAAATTGGGGCGAGCATACGGT